ACAATGGAAACGATTGGTTTACAACAGAGTCTATGTCATCGAAGTCGTCGAAAAAGTCACCGACAAGTCGTCTGATTTGTCAAAATGGCAGACAATCTTCAGAAAGTGTCGAAACGTCACAAGAGTTTTACTGAAAGTATTTTATGAAAAGGAAGGATCAAATGAATACCAGTTAGTAAACAATTACACTTCAAAAGATGAAAACAGTGAAGAAAGTGACAATAGTTTTGATAGCAATGGCGATTTAGAAGAAGAAGATGAAGATGAAGGTGAAGGTGAAGGTGAAGGTGAAGGTGAAGGTGAAGGTGAAGGTGAAGGTGAAGGTGAAGGTGAAGGTGAAGGTGAAGGTGAAGGTGAAGGTGAAGGTGAAGGTGAAGGTGAAGGTGAAGGTGAAGGTGAAGGTGAAGGTGAAGGTGAAGTCAATGAAGAGGTAGTTCAAGTGAACAATGAAGACAACGGGAACAACAATAATAATATGATTATTACTTCGCTAAACATTTACAAACTCGTCAAACAAGCGATTGCTAAAATTGTTGACATCATTACTACCGGTGCTGTCAGTATCAAAGTATTTGCCTTTCGTCTCATTTCTAACAATATCGACAACAATGGTAATGATGAGGTGGATGATGATGTCGACAATATGGACAATGAGAGTACCGATGAAACTACCAATAAAAGTGTCAGTAGTTATAATGATTTAGACAAAGTCAAACTGATGTATAACCAACTGAACGAACTGATTGTCAATGAGTGTCGACATATCACTGAGATATTATGGTTGGCCTGTTTTAACAGTCCTAATGTGAATGGAACAGTTGGCAGAGCTGGTCGACAATATACGACAACATCATTTCAATGGCATGAACTTTTGTGTGAAGAAATAACAAAAACCATAACATTGAGACCATACCATCAATTTGTCGACAAATGGATAGTTATCGAAGACACTGTCACCTATACATTGGATGAAATTCTGAATCCGATTATCGATAAACAAGACAATGATTCGGACAATCAATTGAATACAATTGACTCGAACTCGACGGCCGACAGTTGTCTTAAACAACAGACACCCGAATTCTGGCTAAACTTAGTGTTAGAACAGAGATTCGTCGACAAAGTCATTGATAGTCAGATATGTTTTGTTTCGTTGACTAATCTATCGATTGATTTTTATGGACAACACGCCAGTAGACAACAGTTTCAACAATTGGTAAACAACTGTCCAAAACTTCGGCGATTTCGATACAATTTCGAATTAATATATTCGACGGCCGAACACATGATAATGATTGCCGATATCAATGAAGTGTTTGGCGGCACTCAAGTCACTCAACTAATTATTTCGAGTTTCCAATTCATATATTGTCATCTGACCAGTGATTTGCTGAACAAATGTCGACAATTAAGACAATTATGTGTCAATTGTGTCAGAATTCGGGATCCGTTTTTTGCCGATCTGGCCATTAATTTGCCAAATCTTACTAATTTAAACCTAAATGACGTTAAGTTGACCGACAAATCACTTGAATCGTTGTCCAAATTGCAACTATTGGCTACATTGACGGTTCAATTGTCATCGAAAAGTACATACAGTGAGGCAGGTCTCATGAATCTCAAGACCAGACCAAAGTTTAGGCAATTTGTTGTCCAAAAGTTTCAACTTTTTAAATTTTACGCTTAATTTACTTTTGTTTGTTTTTTTATTTTTTTTATTACAAACTAATATACCAATAGATTATTTTTTAATATTAAAAAGAGCATCAAAATTATTTATATTTAATATAGATGTTTGTTGAAAATAGTTTGTTTTAATTCAATTATTATCGGTAATTAGTTTCGAGTTTTTTATTGTTGATTTAAAATACTATTAATAATTGTATGAATAACTTATGCTAAATAAATAATTTAAATAATAATAATTATAGTTTATTAGTATATAATGTTCTCTATATTGTACACTAATTATACTCATATAGTAATTAATTAACAACAATATTGTAATAATAATTATATTAATTTTAATAATTAATTTAAATACTATAAAAAAATTAATATACTATAGTATATTTTTATTTTGTAACAAATTATTTTTCATTTTTATTTCATATAAATAGAAAAAATAGTAAATTTCTATAAATTAATTAAATAAAATATATGTAATCTAATGTAATATAATGTTATAATAATTATAATAACTTTATTAATATATATATACTTGTCATGAATATTGAAAAAAATTACATTTGTATCATTTAATTACAATAAAATTTTTGAATACAATATTTATAAAAAATTATACATTAAATATAAAATATTACTTAGTTATAAAAATTATTAATTAGTTTAAAAAACTTATTAAAAAACTAATTACTGTATTTTTGTTGTTTTGTTTTTTTTAAATCAACTTTAAGGGACACGTTTGCCACACTGTTTGGGAATATAAGTGTTTTGTCCGTCAAGTTTGCAATAGGGATCAACCGTTTTGGCCAACGGTGGCAACACATGTGACTGATCAGTGCTGTCCGGGCGGCTCATACAGTAGACTTCGTAGACTATTTCACCCGCTGAACATATATCAACATTGGTCAGACAGCTGATCGGCTGTGAAGTAACTGTTACGATAAACCGGAACAATGTTAACTGTCCTCTAGGTATACCAGTTTTCTGTGACGTTAGCTGTTTGATCAGTTTATCGCCGTCGGGCAAACAGGTGGCCGGTTTGGCGTTCAATAGGGTCAGTATTAGACTGTAGATATCGTTACTGACTTTGTGGGCCAACTCCTGGTTAGGATCAGGACAGCTACGTATAACTGGATTATTGCCACAAACTAAACAATAATACAGTATTGAATGAATTATTAATGTTAATAAAATTAATTTTCTAATCATTATTAATAAAAAAATTGTATTTTAATATTGTTTTTCTAATTCTAGAAAAATTAACTAAAAATAAAATTAATGAAATATTTCTATTACTAGTATAACGATTTAAATATTAAATAATTTTGTTTTATTTTTATATCACAAATTTTGAGCAAAATTTATATATTTTTTAAATATATCAATTGCGACGTGATGTTTTATAATTGTAATTAATTTGTTTATTAACATTTTTTTTATTAAATACGATTTAGATTTTTACATTAAATTTCATTTTTTATCTAAAATATCTAAATAATTTTTTTTGTTGTAAAATACTAATAATTAATAAATAAAATTATATAATAATTTTTTGTTTGGTGACCTATCACATTTATTCATTAAATTAGGATATAATGCTATTTAAAATTAGTATAATAAAATTTAACAAGTATTAGTTTTAAAATATTTGATTAAATATTTTTCAAATGATAAAAAAAACTATTAAATTTTAGATTTTAATTTATTATTTTATTTAATTTATTGTATACAGTGCATAAAATAATTATAAAATATATTACATAATAGTGAACTAATAATAACATGAATTAATAAATTATTAAGTTATAAATTTAATTTATATAATTTATGATTATAATGTAATATTTATTTAAATTTTAATAAAATAAATTAATACATTTAATTAGTACATTACAATAATATACTGTATTACAATAAAATTACAAAATAATAAATAATATTTACACAATAGTAATATTTAAAATATTTTTTTTAATTTAAAACATTATACATTAAATATTAATAATTAATAATATATAACATAACATAATAATAACATGACAATAATGATTTTAATAAATAAAAAAATATATAGTTATCAAGTTATCAGATAATTTAAATCTAAATTTACCAAGCTAAACTATTTTTAGCTAATATTTAAGCAATTGGTCACATGTTAAGCCATCAATTTTTTTGCATTTGTCTGCTGGTGATACTCCCGAGGCCACAACAGCGGCCGAAAATTTGCTAATAACTTCAGGCAGTTTGTCGGCTTTGACCAATTCAAGCTTACAGATCAGGCGCAGTAAAGTGGTGGCCAAATAGCAAAACTGATCCGCCGATAGACAACCAAACAATGAATCGCCAACATATATGACCACTTTGAATACCGGCAATAATGGTAACAATGGCTTCAATGTTTTATCTACCTGGTCATAAAAGTCAAGCAATTTTATTTTCCCAATGGGACACTTGGTTTCAGGTTGCAGTGATGCTATATTGATAGCTAGGTCGACAATACTTTCACCCAATCCACCATTACATTGATTGGCACACATTAAGCTGACAACTAAAATAAAGTAATAATATTTTCGGTTAGTTATAAACATGTTATGTTTAATTGGTTTAAATTGGTTAGCTATTGGTATAATTAATTGTGATATACTATGCAAATAGTATTTTTGTTTTATAAAAATAATAACTCTTTATATATATACTAATAATATGATAAATAAAATATATAATTGATTATTATTTTGATTATAATTAAATTTGTTTTAAATAACAAATACGTGATATTTCCCAAAAAAAGAAAACTCAAAAATTGTAAATTATTTATAATTATTTACATTTTAAAACTTTAATTAATTGCTAATTTTTAATATTAAAAAAATTTTTTGCTATCACTAGCATATAATAACAATAAATTAACAAAATTTATAATTTAAGTGTAAAATTAATTATTAATTATATTTAATGTAAAATGTCGTTACAATTTTTTAAAAAATGAAATTATTTAAAATTGTTTTTATAATATCTATTTATGACCTAATTTTTGTATTTAAAATATTTTTTTACACATATGTAAAGTTATCTTTATTAATTAAAAAAATAATATTTAAAATAATAATAAAATATATTGTATTTAACCCATAAATAAACAAATAAAATACATAACAATAAAATTGATAAGTCATTAAATGATTAATCAAATAACTATAAAGTTGTAATTAAAAAAAAACATTAAATATATATATTTACAGATTATATATAAATTCAAATATAATAAATATTTGTAACTAAATAATAATAATAAATAGTTTGTAAAAAACAATATGTTTTTAATACCGGCATCAAAGTTGACAGTCGTTTGGATGCTATTTACTATATTAGCACTAATCGATAGACACAATCGTCTAATTAATGTCAAAATAGCAAACAATTTGCCGAAAAATCATAGCCATTATGACTTTATAGTTGTAGGCGCCGGTACTGCCGGCTGTATAGTGGCCTGTCGTTTGGCCAACGAAACTGCCGGACGGGTACTGTTGTTGGAAGCGGGCGGTACTCAACACTCGTTGAACACAAGTTTTCCGGCACTATTAGACTCGTATATACTTGAGTCGTCCGTCTATTGGCGGGTGCGTAACAAGTTTAGCAACTCGTTTATCGGTAGCGGCAAACTATTTGGCGGCAGTCACTCGTTAAACGGTATGTTTTATATAAGAGGCAGTCGTAATATCTACGATAGTATATATAATAAAACCGGTGCTCGAGGCTGGGCCTACGATGAAGTGTTACCGCATTATATAAGCAACGAGTTTAACACTGATCCTGTATTGAAGGACATGTATCACGGATCGAGTGGACCGTTAGGTGTGACAACTCAGTTGCATATCTTACCGTTGTTTGTGGCCATTGAACAGGCTCTTAAAAGTTGGGGCAACCAAGTGGTCGATGTCAACGGTGCCAGCGATGAAGGTATTGCTCGACTTCAGAGAACTATACGCAACGGTCGCCGCGAGACTACAGCCGCAGCCTATATATTGAACGATAACTCCAGGTGCCCGACATTGTCCATAATGACCAATTCGTTGGTTACTAAATTGCTGATCCAATCATCAGCCAAACAGCAACCAAATGTTTATGGCATTGAGTTTATCAAATCGGATAACAGTTCAGCATATCGTGTCTATGCCGACAACGAAATTATTATATCAGCCGGTAATATAAAACTGTATAATATTTTTTATATAGAAAATAAATAAATAAATAAAACTAAAAATTAAAACTTATTAATTAGTCTTTTTAAAAAAAAAATAATTTTTAAATTATTAATAGGTTCACTGAATACACCGAAATTGTTGCAATTATCGGGTATTGGCAATGCCCAACTTATGACTAGACTGGGCATTCGGCCGGTTTGGTCAGACATACCGGTTGGTCATAATTTTATGTGTCATGTGTCGACATTTTTAGGTTTTTCACTGAAATCCGAGTCACCAATTGACAATGTTACTATTAATCACTTTTATCGGGCACTGTACGGCCGTACGGGTCCTATGACTCACAGCAATGCACTGGTATTGCGCTTGAGATTGCCGTCAATTAGCAGCACTGATAAAGATTATGATAATAATGAAACCATAGATTATTTTGTACAAATTGAGTTCATATTATCTAATTATGCGGGAAATCAAAAACTTTTATGCATAACAATTACCGATTTGGGCGACACCACAAAGGGCACACTAACAATCCAATCGACCGATGTTCGGGAACCGCCGGTCGCCTATTATCCATACAAAACACGTGACAATCGGGCACTGTTGGCTGCTGTGCAGTATGTTTTGAAATTTGTATCGTCAACATCACTGAGCGACTTTGTTCATCCTATTCCCGCTGATATGGACGACTGTAAGCCGTATATAACCGGACCTCTATGGCAGTGCTTCGAGTATCACAAATGTTTGATTGAAAAATCGACATTTTTGGGCCATCCTATCGGTACGTCACCTATGGGTGCTTCGGATAGTGCGGACACTGTTGTTGACGAAAGATTGCGTGTAAAAGGTGTGACCGGTTTGCGTGTTGTCGACGCATCCATATATCCCAACCATATTAACGGCAACACAATGGCTGCCGCTATACTGGCCGGTGAAAAGGGCGCACATATGATCAATTGAGGACATGCATAGCAAACAGTATCGACAATCAGTTTTAGTTAATTATAATTCACATAAAAATTTATCAAGCAAAAATATATGTACTATTATTGACTATTTTAAGTTTATAACTTTTTTATTATAATAAACAAATTTAATTATATATATGTTATTATAACTAATTTTTTTGTTGTTTAAGAAAAATTTTTTTTTTAATTAAAGTTTCTATTAAATTATCTAACAATAATAAAAAATAAAATGTAAAGATAGTATCATTTGTATTAAATTTACAATAACTACAGTAAATGTAAACTAACTAATTTGAATAAGATAGTAAAATATTAATATATAAAAATCTTAACAATATACTTTATACATAATTTATATTTTAAATATAAATAATTTTTATCATATCAAATCAAATTAAAATACACATGTTAAGTTATAATAAAATATAATATAAAAACTAGATTTTTATTAAAAAAAATCATTTAACATATTTTTTTACTAATTATTAAAATTAACTACCAAAAATATGCATGAAAATAACTTTGTTTATTAAACATTTAACAAACTTTAACTAAATATTAGTGTTTTTATTTTATTAAGTTTGGTATTAAAAAGTTGTTTTATTATCAATAATCAAATAATTCATAATAAATATTTTTAAGTATAGTTTAAAATAGTTTATTTTGAAGAAATTTTTTTTTACATATAAAAGCATTTTACTAATTTATAATGATAAGATAAAAAAAACTTAACTGCCTACAAAATAAAATGATATTTGCAAATAATTTAAGTTTTTTAAAACTTAAAAAATTTGAATTTCTCATTAGTATGCATTTTTAATTTTTTTTTAAAAGTGACAGGTCAAAATATCTATTTCTAGAAACTTTTTATAACTTTTTTTTATAAATTTCTAAAATTTATAAATTACCTGGCACATTATTCAAAAAAGGGTATATAAGTTTAAAATCTATTAACAATTATTATACAAAATAAAAACTACAATAAATTTAGTAATATTTTATTTTTATTGTAAAATTTTGGAAAAACTATTAACAATGCGTTCAATTATTTTGTTGGTTGCAGTAATTGGTCTATTGTTTGGTATGTATTGTATACTTTTATATATTTTAGTCTAAGTTAAAAAAATAATAGCATATAATATGATTAATTATAATTAATATTATTATCATTATAATTAGTGTTAATTATTTATATATAAATTCAAGATACTATATATATACTGTATATATAAATTAGCAATGTATATTTCCAATGTTTAGTTTATAATATTTTTTTTAAAAAGTTTTAATAGAGTGATAGTAATCTATTGCAATATATTTCTAATTATTAAAACCTATTAAATTAAAGTGTTTATATATGATAATATAAATTATTATAATTTTTTTGTTATTATCACTCTATAGCTACAACAATGGCTCAGATACCCACGTGTACCGTAACTCAAAGAGTATGCGGTAATGTTTGCTGTGAACCGGGACAGTTGTGTGCCGCTGTTGGTCTACTCGGTGTAGCCATATGTTTGGGTTTGGGATAACACCGCAACTGTGTCTCAACTTAAATGGTTTATTGATTTATACAATTTTTTCATAATTGAAAAAACCTGTAAAACAATAAACCAATACTTGTTGTTTAACAAACAAATTAGTTTTTTTAAGATAGAGATTTAAAATATTTTTCCAAATTATATTATAAAATAATATTATAATTTTTAAAACTAAATTTTTTATTTTTTTGTTAAACAATAACTAAAAATGTGGATTTAAATGATATATTGGCAAAAATAAAATTATTATTATAGTTAAAAAACATGGGTTATTATTATTTTTAATTTATAATATTTACTTGTATAAATGTTTTATTTAAAATATATTACAATAGTTTTATTACAATAAATTAAAAAAAATATAGTACATTAGTTGTATATATTTTTATTTTTAATAATAGAAATTTAATATGTACAACTTATTCATAAATCTAATTGTTTAATATATACATGTAATACAATAGATATAATTATTTGTAAAAATAGCTAATAATGCAAGTTTCAATACAATATAATTCTAATATTTTATTTAGTATACTAAATATAAAACTATTTTTATGATATCACTATTATAAAAAAAGTTCATTGAATTACATTTATATGTGATTTGAATTTAATTAACAAAACTATAATTAATTAAATATATACAGTAATTATTAATACAATAACTAAAAATATATATAAAAAAATTACTAAATTTAATGTCATAAAATCAATTCATTTAAAAAAAATCTCACTGAGTTTTACGATAAAATTTTCAATAGTATATAATTTTTATTTAATATAAAAATGCAGTAATATTAATATGTTAAAAATGTAATAATGTAAAAAATATATCAAAACTAATAATACATAATTATAGTTTATAGTTTTAACAATAATATCTAACTAGAAAATTCATACAATTATTATTATATATTTATTTATAATATAATAAACATAATGTTTAATAAGTATAGTACATATAAAGTATATTAAATTTATATTATTTATTTACAATTTTTTAGTATTTTATTTAAGTTATAATATATTCTTAATAAAATATATGATTAATTAAAAAACATTTTTTATAAAAAATAACATTGAAGAAAAAAGAAATATAATAGCTCAATAAAACATTATGATTAAAAATGATAATTTAAAAAATTGATTTATAAAAGATCACAAAACTCATGAAAAAAAAAACTTAAAATCATCTAGTAACAATTAATTATAAAAATAAATATTGTTAATTAGAAAAAATAATATAATTATAGCTATTTTGAATGATTTATTATTTATTTTTTGAGTATATAAACTAAATACTAAAAAAACTAAATAATCGTTAGTAATAATAATAAAAATATAAAACAATTATATTTTATAATATTTTAGTTTAACTCAAACAATGCGTTCGGTAATTATTTTGATTGTCACAATCGGTCTAATGTTTGGTATGTATTATAATTAATACTAATATATATATATTTATAATATAATATAGAAATTTATTAAATTTATTATATATATATAAATATTGAGATTTTTTTCGGAAAAATGTTTTATATTTAACAATAATATAATTTTAGTTAAAAATAGTTTTTTTTTAGTTAGTAATATTATTTTACTAATAAAATATTATTATTTATAACTAAAATTAGCTGCCATTGCCACAACAATGGTTCAGGCAAAATGTAAAATTGGTCAAAAAAAATGTGGCAACGATTGCTGTTTAATGGGATCGCCCTGTAAATTGGATTTTGTAGATGGACAACTTACACAAAGTTGTTTTTAAAAAAAATATGCTTGCTAAATAATCTAAATATAATAGATTTGTTTTAATTAATCTAAAAAATTAGCGAATTTCTATTTTATAAATTTATTTTGCAATTAGATTTTTAATAATCACTAAATGTTAAAAAATTATGAATATAATTAACAAATAAAATAATATTATTTTAATTGAATTAAATATTTTTTTTATAAATATATACAACTTTAAGTTAAATATACAATATAAAATCTAACTTGGTTGAAATTTATAATAAATTTTAAAACCCTATAATATAGTTTTAAAAAATTGCAAATTAGCTATATTTAAAATGTTTAAGAAACTATAATTTTTAATTTATTAAATTTTTAAATTTAAAAATAAAACACAGAATTTGAAAAGTTATAGAAACTTATTGAATAATGAATATTGAACAAAACAAATTACTATAATATAAGTTTAATAAAATAATTTTTAAACAATATAAACAATAAACAAATTTCAAATTATAAACAAATCTAATTAATATAGGAATGTATTATTAAAAAACAATAAAAACTTGACAAATTATGTAATAGATATTGTATTTTAAATATTAATAGCATAATACTTATAACTTGTAATACATTAATAGTTATCATTGATGTAAATCTTATAAAGATTTTAAACATTTAATTCTAATATTATTGGATTTTATTGAAAGACAAAAAAAAATATTTCTTAAAAATAGTTATTTATTTAATTTACATTTTTATATTAATTAAATCTAATTTACAAAATATCTAACTTATTTTTTAGAAAAATTTTTACAAATCATTTAATAAAATGACATTGATGAAATTGATACTAAAAAAAATTTTGTTATAAAATTGCTTTATAATGAAAGTTTCACTAAAAAAAATCTTGTAATAATAATTTTATAAAATTGCTTTATAATGCTAGTTTCAATAAAAAAAATTTGTAATAATAATTTTATAAAATAGTTAAAACTCTTTTATTAAAAAACTTTTATTAAGCTTATTTTATTAAACTTATTTTATTAAAAAATTTATAATTTAATTTAATATAATAAATGTTTGGAAAATACTTATCGATATCGTATACTAATATACTGTTAGCTATCCTTATCATTGATTAAAATATACTGTATTTATATACATAAAACAGTATATTATTAGATTTTTAATAAAATAATACATTTAATTTAAACTATATTTTAATAATTTTTAATTATAATAGAGAAGATATTTAGTTTTTTTAGTAAATTTTTTACAAGGCATTTAATAAAATGACATTGATGCAATAAATTATAATTTCTAAAAACTTGCTTATCAACTAAAAAAATCTCTGGTATTTATTTTTTTTAATAAAATCTAATTATAATGCAAATTTCAATATACACAAAAAAATTATGTAATAATAAATTTTTATTGTTATACAATGACAATAGTTATTTAGTAATTAAAAAGATTAATTAATTAGAAATATTTTAAATAACATTACATATTTGATTTGAAAAAATAAGGTATATAAGCTCATTAAGTTTGTTAGTTTCTAAACTACCTGATATAATAATAGTAATATAACTTAAAAAAAATATTATTATAAAATTATTTAAACTAAAAAAAACAATGCGTTCGGTAATTATTTTGGTTGTATTAATTGCAATGATGTTTGGTATGTATAAAATTTTTAGTT